TTTCAAGCATGGAGGTTCCCTCAGGTGGACCTCTTTGCTACAAGGAGTTCAGCGAAAGCTCCAAACTTTTTCTCATGGGGAGGAAGAGATCCGTTATCCCTGGGAGATGCCTTCCAAATACAGTAGACCAGGACTCTGTATTATGCTTTCCCAACCTTTGCCTTTAATAGGCGGAGTACTTGGGAAGATGGGGGCAGATCAGACACAGGCCATCCTTATCACCCCCTTTTGGCCCAGACAAATTTGGTTCCCGGAACTGCTAAGGCTGGCCAAGGGAACCTTCATACGTCTCCCGGTAGCTCGAGATTTATTGGCCCAGGACCACACGGACCATCCAGATTGCAGCAGGTTACAACTAACTGCTTGGAGAATCGATCCATGATTGATTCTTTTTCTACTGAGGTCCAGGAGGTTTTATTACAGGAAAATATCAACCAGGTGTTCCTATATGAGGAAGTGGAATAACTTCCAATCTTGGTTGGCAGGGAGACAAAAATGTCCATTTACCTGCACATTATCTTATATTCTGGAATATTTGTTACATTTAGCACATTCCGGTTTATCAGTTTCTTCTGTAAAAGTGTATTTGGCAGTCATTTCTGCTTTTCATAATGGAATAGATAGAGGTTCAGTATTTTCTCACAGGTTGGGTAGGCGTTTTTTGAGAGGTTTGATTAATAAATTTCCTCCTCATATAGTGTCTCAGTGGTCCCTTTCATTAGTCCTAGGTTGACGTGTTCCTCACCCCATTTATTGTGGAAGGTGGCATTCCTGGTGGCTATCACCTCAATTAAGAGAGTGAGTGAACTGGCTGCACTGAGAATTGACCCTCCTTTCTTTAAAAAAAAAAATCTCAGAAAGAGAAGTGTTGCATCCTAGCTTAGACTTTCTGCCAAAGGTGGTGTCTCAGTTTCATTTGTCACAAGAGATTGTCCTCCCTGTGTTTTCCCCTAATCTGTCTAGCCCAAGGGAAAAAACTCTTCATACATTGGATCTTAAAAGCACTGCTCTATTATTTAGCTAGAACTAGAAGTTTTCATAAAAATAGGAGCCTCTTTATTTGTTATTGGGGACCAAAAAAAGGGAAGAGCAGCTTCTGCCCAAACTATATCTAGATGGTGTCTGGAATGAGTTGCCCATTGAACATCAGGGTGCACTCCACAAGAGCAAAAGGTTCTTCTGCTGCTTTTCACCACAACGTCCCCTTGTCTAATATCTGCAAGTCTGCAACTTGGTCATCTGAGGACACTTTCATCTGTCACTAGGTACTGGACCTGCAATTGGAGAAGGAGACAGAAGTTGGGAAAGCAGTCCTACAGTCTCTTTTCAATAAGGTGAGAAGCTTGGTAATGGTCCCAATGTGGGGCTGCACAGCAAGACGGATGATGAAACTGTTTGCACTTACCTGTAACTTTTGGTCATTCACGTCTTCCGTGCAGGCACATATTCCCTCCCTCCTAACCCTCTGTGACCTCTCATTGGAGAAAAAAAAATAGAGGAATTGCTTTGGGCGCTCACGGCAGCTTGGTGGGAACTGAGGGAATGGGGGCGGTCCGTCCCAGGTATAGGTGAAACACGTGCAAGGAAGGGGCGCGTGCTCTACTCCTCACGGGCAGACTGCCCCAGTAATGGAAATTTTGAGCTAGAGAAGAGTTCTCTGAAGCTGGCCTGTGCCAGCGCAGTCCCAATTTATGTCTGCACAGAAGATGTTGATGAACAACAGTTACAGGTAAATGCAACCCTGTTTTGTTTTGTTGTTTTCCCTTCGTTTCTACTCCCCCCTTCTCGCCAAGGGAGACCCAAAGTGGCTTACGTCATTCTCTTCTCTTCCATTTTATCCCCACAACAATCCTCTGATGGTCGGTTAAGTTAAGGGTGTGTGTGTGTGAATGACTGGCCCTTTATTGGAGGAGGGATTTGAACCTGGGTCCCCAAGATTCTAGTCGGACACTCTTAACTGATATGCCGCACTGGCTTTAAAGAATGTAGGTTAATGTAGAGTAAATGTTCAGCTCTCAAGGATGCTCACTTCCTGTTTCAATTAATAATCCTCTCCGCAACCGGAAATGCCCCGCTGGAGATTCCTATTCATGGGAGACAAATTGAAGCTAAGTGGGTGTTTCATCGCATTGCAGGGGAAGGGACCACTGCTGCCCTCTCTCGGTATCTCTGGACAGCTTGTGTGCTTTTTGCTGGGCCTCTGACTGAGGATGTTGCTTTGAACGGACACGGCTGCTGGAACCTCTCTCCGCTTGGACAACCCCCCTCCCTTCTCTCCATCGCACCATCTCGCCGCCGGAGTAGCGAGTGGTTTCCTCTCCCGGGGAGAGGGTGTCATTGGGACATTGACCTACCCTGTCACCTGACTGTGATCCTCCGCATAATGAGGCATTTCCTGACTATCCGAGGAGTTTGGGTTGCAACCGGGAGCGGGCGGCCTCCCCCCCCCCGTGTATTCCCTGCCCTTCGTGACGAGGAGGGCGCTGATTGCCCCAATAAGGATGAGACTGGTCAGGAGGAAACGAGGGTGAGCAAGCCAAGAAGACCGGGGATCACCAGCCCTCAACCGCTTCGGCCTCATTGTCCCTCGCTTGCGATCAGTACCAGTTGTTCTGCGCGTCTCACTGAAAACCCTTCTCGACGGCGGCGGCCAAATTTCCCTGGCTTGGGACGTTTCATCACCGCTTGCCGCCGAGGGCTCTTGCTTGTTGCCAGTCCAGCTCGGATTACTCTCGAGGAGTTGCAAAGGGCTGCTGAGCTACAATCCACTAGGGGTGCCAACTCCAGTTTGGGTAATTCCTGGAGATTTGAGGGGCTTGGAGTAAGAAAGGACTTCAGTGGGGTACAATACCTGCAAAGCACCCTCCCTTTTCTCCAGGGGAACTGATCTCTGTTGTCTGGAAATCTATTATAATTCTAGGAGATCTCCAGGTTTCCAGCTGTAGGTTGGCAACCATACAACCCACTTTGCTGTGGCGTGAGCGTGCGACGGTGCTCCCCCCCCCCAGTACGCGGACCACGCTGAGCGAGGTATTTGTGAATTTCCTCCATTGTGCAGGGGGTTGGACTAGATGACCCTGGAGACCCCTTCCAACTCTATGATTTCCCCACAAGACAGTCCCTCGGAGGAAGAGTAAAGTCAAGTTTTCCCATCCCCCACCCGTTTACTCAAAAGCCCTGTTGGTTCCCGAGGGAGCGACTATCCGTGCAATCCCAAAGTTTAAATTAACTGGTTTAGCAGGGGTTAACTCTTTTTAGGACTGCACTGCCTATCCGGAACCCAGCTTACTCGGGAGTAAGTGTCACCGAACTTTAAGGGGTTTCTTTCCGGGCCTAAGAGCGGGCAGGAAAGGCAATTTAACTGGAAAGCTGGAACGCCGAAAGGCAGGAGCCAGGAAACCCCACCTCAGGGAAAGAGCTGCGCTGGTGTCCGGACTGCGGCCCAGAGGAGAGCCCAGCCTCAGTGTCTTCCACTGCAGGTTCCCCAGGCTGCGGCTGGAGGGGAGCCAAGATCCCGCACGATCCCGCGCAGGTTTACTCGGAAGAAAGTCCGCGGGGTTTTCTGCTTCCGAGTACGTGTGCACAGGATTGCAGCCTGAAAGCGGTCAAGTCGGCTTGGCGAGGCGAGCTGACGCTCTCCCCGCTTGCTGGCCGCCCGGCAAAGCCCCTTCCAGCCCGGTTCCCCGTTTGAGTTGGAGGCGGAGAACCAAGGACTCAGAGAGACGCGCCAGGACTCAAAGCCACGTTCTTTAATGCCCAGCCCCCCCCCCCCCCCCAACCCACCCCCCACACCGTCAGCACGCCGGAGGCGGCGGATAGCACAGCCGAGCGGCTGGACAAAGAACAGACAGTGCATCGCAGCAGGCGATCAATCACGGCTTTAGTGCACAACTCGACGGGAGTCTCGGCACCCCGCGGCATCCGACTTCCTTCACGCGGGGGACTCTGGTGCGGCGCAGTCTCTCCCCGGTCCCGGTCCCCCTCGCAAGGTCCGGCAGGAAGAGAGGAGGGACGTGTCCGATGGAAACACACAAACACACACACGCACACACGATTAAGTAACCCCGCCAGACGACCCTGTTTCCCAAAATCTGAGCTAGCTTCCAACTGGACCTGGACGGATCCATATTCACGGCTTTGCCATCGAATAAGAAGAGAGCGTCTGTTTCTGGATTTGTCTTTCTTCTATGCCCAAAGGGACTGGAAGTTACACGTTTCAAAGGGGTTGCGGGCCGGTGGGGTGGGGGAGGTGCCTGGTAATAAACAAGGCCCGCCACCTTGCAAAGGCCAATCCCTTCTCTGTGGAGCCAGGGTGTAGACCTTTTTGAACCTGTGGGCACCTTTGGAATTGACACAGGACGGTGGGCCCAACACAAAATGGCTGTTTTGCAGGAGCTGGAGTCCACCACAAAATGCCAGGGGGCGGGATTTTGCATAGCTCTCATAGTAAGTCTGCAACATTTCAGGCCGAAGGAGGCCTTTTAGTCCGCACTGCCAATCAGAAGCCCTATTGGGCAAAAGCCCCACCCACTTTCTAAAAGCACTTGGCCCGAGCCAGGAAGGTTGTGGGGGGGGGGAGCCTGCTGCCCCGGGGCACCACGTTGAGGACCCCTGCTGCAGACAAACGTGACAATGTGACTTTTGCTCGGAGACGGTAGAAGCTCTAGATCACGTCGCGCCTTCCCTTTCCATCCTGCAAAGGCCAAGCTCCGCGCTCCCTATCCCAGCAATCGGGGGCTGTAGGTCTGACTCCGAAGGAGGTGCAGGAAGGTCTTTGGAACTTCCCTCCGGCGGCTGGATCAGCCTACCAGTCCCGCTGCCGAATCTACACACGGGCGGCTCGGGGAAGGGGACTGTCTTGGAGATCCTTGGGTGGCACCTGTGGAGGTCCCAGCCGCTCTCCAGGGGTTTGGAGTCCTCTCGCCCAGCCCAGCCCCCGAGAGCTCCTCCTCCGGGCCCTCCTTCCTCCGGCGGCGCTCGGGAGGGCGGCTCCGGGGGTCCTACCAGGCGCGGATGCCGTGCAAGGTGGACATGCCCCCGTTCCCTTGCGGGATGGACGCGGGCACGGGGTTCAAGTCGCCCACGCCGAAGTTCATGAAATTGCCGCCGGCGGCCGAGGGCTGGACGCCTTGCACGCCCGGGTAGCTGCAGCTGTAGGTGGCGTTGCAGGCGGCGGCGGCGGCGGCGCCGTTGTAGTTGCTGTAGGCCGGGTAGGCGTTGTAGCCGTAGGGGCTGAGGCTGACGTTGTAAGGGGAGCCGTAGGGCGAGGAGTCCCCCAGGCAGGGCTTCCCATCGCGGACCAGCACCGGCACGGCGATCCGCCTCGGGGGAGGGAGGCCCACCATCTCCAGGCTTTGGTCCTGCCTCTGCCGCTTGCACTTGTACCGGCGGTTCTGGAACCAGATCTTCACCTGTGTGGAGGTCAGCTTCAGCACGTTGGCCAGGTGGTCCCGCTCCGGGGCCGAGAGATACTTCTGCTGCTTGAAGCGGCGCTCCAGCTCGTAGACCTGAGCCTGCGAGAAGAGCACGCGGGGTTTCCGGCGCTTTCTCTGACGGGGCCGCTCTAGATCATCGGCCTCCCTCTTCTCCTGCTCCAGGGATTTCTGCAGGGCGCACAGATCTGCTGGGAAGAGAACGGAAAATGCCCCCAGGGCAGTTAGAGGGGCTTTGGAAACCGAGGGTTTCTCATCCTCCCCCTAGTCCCCTTGGTCTGAGCGGGTTCTTCACTTATGTATTATACCCTGCTTTCCCCCCTACGGGAACCCAAGACTGCTTATAAGATCGTTCTTGTTGGGTATTACAAGTTGAAAACACTCAGTATATCTGGGGTTAAATGTTTGTTTATGTTAGTCACAGGAAGTCACATGGTTTTCATGTAACCAATGTTCTTTAGCTGTAGAATACCAGGGAATTTTCTCCCTGATCTAGGAATTTGATTGGGACTAAAGTGTCAAGGTGTATTAGCATTTTATGGCTCTCTTCCTGTCTTTGTTTGGTGTTCTGAAGAAGAAGAAGAGTAGCCATAATCTCCCTCTTCTAGTTTTGTCTTTGTAGAGTAAGGATGTAGCCGATTATGCTCTGTTGTTATTTTCATCCCAGTTACCCTTCCCATGCTAGAATTTAGTAAAAACTTTATATTTTAATCACACATGGACTCTCAGTCTGAATTATTTTACTCTGGCTCTGCTGGACTATCTTATCTCTGCTAAATACCATTTTTTCAATATCTCACTATCACCCAACAAAGGTTATGTGTGCCCAGATCACTTCAGCTGCGCCGGATAGCTAAGCAGAGTACGCAGCCAGACTTTGAGTCAAGAAAAATCATGTGTGCTGGAGTTTTCTAAAACAGAATTTTTATCTTAACTCACATTGGATTTATGAGATTCAGACAACATCCTGTTTTCTTCATGAACTTGTGGGACCAGACTAGTCGCCTGTGTTTCCAAGTTGGAGAAAGCCTGTAGTGTTTGATCTGAGTTCCTCTTCTTCCCATGTTGAGTGAAAGAAAGAAGGAAAGGGGGTGAGACAGATCCTGCTAAACGGGAGCATCTTCTACAAGCTTAATCCAGCGCTCACAAAAGATCAGCATTTGTCCTCACCACTCTCAGGTTTTGGTAACGTATGAAAAGGAGAAATCATTATGTCTGCAGCTAAGAATCTTGCTTTTTTCAATATTCCCACCTTAGACTCAAGTAATTTCTCTTGGTGGAAGAGATCAGTAAAGAATGCCCTTCAGGCTCATGGAGCTGTTACCGTGCTCACTGAGGAACCTCCTGCAGCTAGGGCCGCTCTTGAAAAGTACAGAGGGCACGATGGATTTGGGATGTCTTTAATTATGGGAACTGTGAATACTAAAGATAATCAGGAACTTTTAGAGTGCACGTCCACGAAACAAATGATGTTGAAGCTTGAGCAAACTTATGCTTCAAAAAATGATGCTAATTACTTGTTCCTTTATCAAAGATTAATAAATGCAAAAATGAGAAATGGTGAATCACTACTTAAACATTTGAATTACGTCATGGATGCTTATAATGCAATGAAAGGTATGGAATGTGCACCAGGGGAAAAAGCTGTTGTTGCTGTGATTCTTGGTTCTTTGACCAGAGAATATTCGCATGAAGTGGCTGTTTTAAAGGGGACAAAAGACTTAAAACTGGAATATGTGTTAGCATATCTAAAAGATGAAGGACATAGATGTGAAATGTCTCAGACTGCAAATGACTTGTCTGTATTTAGCATAAAGCCTGATTATAAAAGGGAAAATGCCAAAAGAAATATGAAATGCCACAAGTGTGGGAAATTTGGGCATATGGCAAGACATTGTAGATCAAAGACTTTACCAGAACAAAGAGATCACCCCACATCTTACCGCTCTGAAACCAGACTCCCTAACGGGCGTGGTCAAGGAAAGCCAAGTGGGAAACGAGGTGTGTTTGTTATAACAGAGAAACAGCAGAGAGCTGATGTTGTGAACGGTAACATGAAAGTTTTGTCTGTCACTAAGAGAAATGATGAGCAAAATGACTCTTTTTTACTAGATAGCGGAAGTGCATATCACATAGTCAATTCAGACAAATGGTTCTTTGATTTAGACAGAGAAAAGCGGCCTGCTCTACAAGGGGCAAAAGGCAAAAATCTCTCTGTAGAGGGATGTGGTTCAGTTAAACTGTATGCCTTGAACGATTGCAATGAGATAGTGGAAATCACACTCAAAGAATGTGTTCTGATTCCCCAAGCCCTAAATAATCATATATCCACAAAGAGAATCATGCAAAATGGTCTTAATATTGATCTCAGACCAAGCCATGGAAAAATTTGGAGTGAAAATGGATTTAATGTGATGCATGAAGAAAAGGATGGTTTTCATTACCTGAGAAACATTGCTGATACTGATTTAGATGAAATGGAAAATTATGGGCAGGTATGCCAAACCAGATCAGCTGAATGCAACCATAAAGACAGTTTATTCGTGTGGCATGTAAAATTTGCACATAGAAATGTGAAAAGTGTGGAAAAGTTTTTGAAAGAATGCAATATTGAAGCAGAAGGGTGTGATGTCATGAGAAATGGCTGTGATATTTGCCTAAAGTCTAAAGCCACAGCTCCCTCTTATAAAAATAGAGCTCATGACCCCAATACTAAGTTTCTAGAGTGCGTGTACTCTGATTTGGTTGGTCCAATAAAGGAATCTGCTGGTGGCAACAAGTATTTTGTCAGTTTTCTGGAAGGAAAATCCAGATATGTCTATACCTACCTGCTTAGGAGCAAAGATGAGGTGCTTGACAAGTTTAAATGCTATGTTGCTGCTGTTAAAAACAAATTTAGCAAAGCGCCAGACATTCTGTTCACAGATAATGGCACAGAATACTGCAGCAGTGAGTTCCAAAGATTCAAGGGACAAGAAGGAATTGAACATAAGACTTTTTGTTGTTCAGTCGCACAGTCAAGTCTGACTCCTTGCAACCCCATGGACAGGATCCCGCCAGGCCCTCCTGTCTTCCGCTGTCCTCCGAAGCCCGCTCAATTTCATGTTCGCTGCATCCATGACACTGTCCAACCATCTCATCCTTTGCCGTCCTCGTCTTCTTTGACCTTCAATCTTTCCCAGCATTAGGGTCTTCTCCAGTGAGTACTCCCATCTCATTTGGTGGCCAAAGTATTTGAACTTCAGTTTCATTATCTGGCCTTCCAGGGAACAGTCAGGGTTGATTTCTTTTAGGATTGACTGATTTGATCTTCTTGCAGTCCAAGGGACTCTCAAGAGTTTTCTCCAGCACCATAGTTCAAAAGAATCTATTCTTCGGCGCTCAGCCTTCCTTATAGTCCAACTCTCGCAGCCATACATGACTACTGGGAATACCATTGCTTTGACCATGCGGACTTTTGTTGGCAGGGTGATGTCTCTACTTTTTATCATGCTGTTTAGGTTCACAATCGCTTTCCTCCCAAGGAGCAGGCATCTTTTAATTTCATGGCTGCTGTCACAGTCTGCGGTGATCTGGGATCCCAGGAACGTGAAGTCTGTCACCACTTCCACGACTTCCCCTTCTATTTGGCAAGGAGTGATGGGGCCGGATGCCATGATCTTAGTTTTTTTTTGATGTTGAGCTTCAAGCCCACTTTTGCTCTCTCCTCTTTCACTCTGAGCAAGAGGCTCTTTAGGACCTCTTCACTTTCTGCCATTAGAGTGGTATCGTCTGCATATTAGAGGTTGTTGATCTTTCCCCCAGCAATCTTAATCTTAACATAAGACTACAATTCCTTATTCTCCTCAACAAAATGGAACGGCAGAACGCTTAAACAGAACCATTCAAGAAATGGCACGTTCTGTGCTAATGCAATCTGGACTTTCAGAGTCCTACTGGGCAGAAGCAGTCCACACTGCCATCTATTTGCATAACAGAGTTCCATCACAAACTAC